GGTACCAATATCCCAAACAGTCCTCTTCAGGACTCTGACCAGTCTGTCCAACCAGAGCAGGCTGATCCGATTATCGATCTGGGAACCCAAAACTGTCCTCTTCAGGACAATGATCAGTCTGTGCAGCAGGAGCAGTCTGAACATTACACACATCCGCACATCCAAAATATTTTGATGGATGTTGAACCAAATATTGAAGATGTTTGTGGCCCTGGGAAGCCTTCGAGCTCGGGCGTATTTACTTTTAGTGAGAAAGATATTAATGATAATGCTAATATTGACAGCCTTGTGGAACCGCTCACTCCTTTGAGCATCTCTTCGGAGGTATGCGTTCCGAGAAAATCACGCAGAACACGCGACTCGTCAGTCGAGTCTATGGATACACGTAGTATGACATCGGCAATAAGTGCTAAATCTGATTTGTCGTGCTCTTCTACTGGTAGCCAGTCAACTAATAAACGAGGACGACCGAAAAGGAATGCGCGTAAAGGTGGGAGGCCGAAAAAGTCTCTTGATACACCTCATGGCGCTTTAAACGATCCAGATATACCACCGACTAATGAAGCGAATATTAATTTTTCGACGTTAAACACTCTAGATTTTGCTGTAGCCAAGACTACTGATGTAACTTCCATTTGCCGCAGAGCAGTTATGCCTCTTTATCAAAGAGATGATGATAATACGGGCCCTCGCGCTATTGAAGTACTATGGAATAAACTCTCTGAATGGCCAAATGAAAGTTTCATTTTCGCATATTTATGCTATCTAGCCAAAGTTTCTGGCAAAAAGGTGATTGTAGTAGATCCGCTTGTAACGGATCCACTTCATTTTCAATTAGAGGATATTAATTACGCCAATTATGCCTATCAAACTGGTCCAGACAGAGATGTACAAATTGTACTTCTTCCTGTTCACCTACCAGGACACTGGACCATCATTATCTTTGACAGTGAGTTCGGAACCTATTTCTTCGACTCGCTGCCAGACGATCCTCATAGACTATCTGACAATCACCCTGACTATCACCCTGATAGATTGCCTAAACTTATGGTTATTCTTTCTCAATTGACCAACAGACGCTCCGATTTAATACATTTGGGATCATATGCCACAGACAAATACACACTTCAACGTGACGGTCATAGTTGCGGATATTTTATCTGCCTATATGCCGAAGCGTGGTTATTTAATAACCGGAATCTTAAATTGAATAATTTTAATATTAACACTGAAAAGAAGAGAATTTTATGGCATTTGAACCAGTTGTATTCCGGAGATGATGTTGAGTATCACCCGAGAAATGAAAACGACCAAGCTAATATACGACGATCAAGCCCAATTCAGAACTTGCCAACTACAAGTCTTTCAACTCCTAGAATGCAAACGAGAGCTTCTACGCGAGCCTCTTCAACTAATTTAACGCCAGGATTGTCTAATATTGCAATTGCTACTCCGAAAGGAGAACGAGTTCTTCCCCTCACTAAACGTTGTAAGACTAAACATGAAGGAATAGGCTGTGCCTCCTTTAAAGCAGGTCATCTCCCAGAATATTACGATTCTGGTCAGTTTGGGGATAAAACTTGTGTGCATTGTGATAATAGACTTCTTCGGTCGGAAAAATGTTTATCTTGTACGGATGGTCGAGTTCGACTTGATCCGCTTAAAGCATATCCACATGATTATGAAAGACTTGTAACTGGTGAATCAATGGACTCTAAAGAATACATCAGAGACCAATCGAAATATAACACTTTGTTTGCTTTCGGATCACTTTCAGTAGGTCGACAAAATGCACCAACTGGTGGACCAATGCCTGTCTTACTGAATGGTGAATTCGCTAGACGGATTGGGAGTTTGACCGCAGCCGATCACCAGATTCCATCTTTTGATCAGTTGTACATACTGGATTCTAAAGACGCTACAGAATATCGAATGAATAATACAAGCTTTGATGATTGGAATAAAAAGAATCCTCATTTGTTCCACGTTCTTGATGAATTAATTCGTGCCTATCATCCGATGGCCGAAATTCTTAAAAACTCTTATGAGTTTTACAAGGACATTGCAGAAAATTCACCAGAAAACCTTCAAAACTTTAAGGTTATTTTGGTCGAAGATAAAAATGCGCCTGCTGCAATTCAAGATCCGAATTTACATCCACGCCAAGTTAACTTGCCTACACATGATGAGTCCACTGTTTTTGCGATATGGTCTTCCAATACTGATGAGCCTCCGCCGCTCAGAGGTATTTGGATTACTAAGAAAGGAAATGTTACAGATTTATGGTCAAACCATGCTATGACTGATTCGATACTCTACCCTTGCATGTTTTTGCTCGGGGACGAGGGATATACAAAAGATATACCGTATATTAAGATAGCTAAAAAGCCTAATAATGATAAAGACGACTTTGATACCGACAAATCGGAAACCGGTTCCATTGCTGAAAGCGATTGTGGTTCTGTTGATATTTATGGTGACGAACCTAGCCGTTCTCGCCCGAATCTTTCATTTAGAGCTTTTTATCGTTATCGCTTTGGAATTCGGTACCCGGAAAATGAAACATATCATCATATTTGGAGTACTGGTGGCGGATTGGGACAAAAATTTGCTCTTGACATTGCTGCTAGAATTGATTCGCAAGTATTTGAATACTTACGTCAGCCCGATATGGATTTAAGATGTGAAGTTGTGCCTGAACTTTTAGACTATTTTGCTAAGCATGCAGGCAAATCCTCCGCAGACAAAGTAGGACATGTAGTTCTCTTTAGAAGTTATATGCCTGGCTTCAGAGCATACTTTAAGAAAAATTATAAATCTGCGTGCACGATTATTAATCGTAAACGCAAGCGAGGATGCGCCATGTTTATGTTCACGTTCACTTCGAATCCAAACTGGCCTGAAATGCAGAATGAACTTTACCCCAACGGTCAAGCATTGATTGATCGTCCTGACATTGTCATGCGTTTTTACGCAGATAAAGTTAGGGAGGTACATAACGACTTGAATGCAAAGCAAATTTTTGGTAAGCAATTGGGTTACGCTGAGAGCATGGAATTCCAGAAAAGGGGTGGTCCTCACTTTCACAGAGTGATGGCTACCGATATTCCTGCCATACCGGAGATTATTGAAGGATACATTTTTGCCCATATTCCGCCACTGCCAGATAAGGATGATAAAAGTCCACGAGCCGAAGGTGAAAGACGCCTTCGAGATCTTGTAATTAAACATCAGCTTCATGATTGTAAGCCTGAGTTTTGTGGGAAAAGGAATAAAAATGGGAAATGCTCTAAATTCTTCCCTTATGACTATTCGAACAAGACTATACTCTATGACGACCAGCCAGCCGTCCATTATCGACCAAGTCCCGAGGATGGGGGTGAAAAAGTATTGATACCGAAAGGTGGGGTGCTCACTGAGTATACCAATGCTCACGTGACGCCGTACAATCCGTTTATCCTACTGAAATATAAGACACACCATAATGTAGCATATTGCTACGGTGAAAAAACCAATATGAAATATACTATGAAGTACCCATTAAAGGGACCCACCTTTCAATACATCCAAGTTCAAGGTGACATGGTCGATATTGACGAGCCTGCGCATTATGCTCAGATGTACTATCGCTCTGCTAATGAAGCATATGCAAGAATCCATTCAATGCCTTACGTACGACTTTCCAACACAGTTTATGACATGGAAATACACTTGCCAGGTCATCAAAATGTTGTTTTTAAGCAAAGTCAAGCTGCAGCAGTTGCTGCTGGACTACCAAAAAATTTACCTAAAACCATGCTCACTGAGTACTGGTCTCAATGGCGAGAAGGAAAGTCGTGGCAATATATTAATAAGAAATGGAAACTTGAAGATGATGCTTCAATAACGACTACGCTTTACGAACATATGCCAGAAAATTATTGGTTTGATAAGCATGACAAAATGTGGAAAAAAAGAATTCGAAAAATGGATGTAATAGGACTGATTTATCCTAGACCATCACCTCGGGATCAAGAGAGGTTTGCATTGTACCTACTTCTCCGCCATTTTCCTGGCGATCCCGAGGCATTAAAGGACGTTAACGGAGTAATGTGCACAACCTTTGTTGAGTCTGCCAGATTGAGAGGTCTGCTTTCTGACGATTCTATCTGGGAAAGAACATTGGAGGAGGCCTCGCATTTCAGCACAGCCAGTGGAATGCGATACCTGTTTGTACAGGTTTTGGTCTTTGGAAATCCGAGCAATGCTCGCGACTTGTGGGAAAGATTTGTGGATCATATGTTCAAGCCAATAATAGGCAATGATCCAAATGGGATTGAAAGAAACAGACGTATTGATCGGGTATTGGCCATCATAGAAGCACAGCTTTCGGACTACGGAATGACAAACCAACAATTTGGTCTGGATTCTCCATCCCCCGGGATGCGACAAGACGTTGACGACGCACTTGATAACTTCTTCTTTGGAGACAAAGATGAAGATGACTTTGCAAGCGGTAACAAGCCACCGATAAAGCTCAATGACGACCAAGAAAATGTTTGGACTTACGTTCAAAATGCTATCAACGGAACTTCATCCAACACCATCTTTGTAACAGGAGATGGTGGAACTGGAAAGACTTATTTGTTTAACGCAGTAATTTCGCGACTAAGAGACATGCGCATCCGTGTAATTGCTTCGGCTTATACAGGCTGCGCAGCGACACTTTTGACTGGTGGTGCTACCGTTCATTCGGTATTTAGGTTTGGAATAAACATTGATGAAAATTACACCCCGTCAGTGTCAATGCAAAGCTATCACGGAAGGCGAATCAGAGACAGCCAAGTTATAATTATAGATGAAGTTTCTATGCTTCCTAAGCATATGTTGGAGGCAATTGATCGGGTCTGTAAACAAATGTGCCCAACAGAAAAGAAACATATTCCATTCGGCGGAAAGGTTATGATTCTCAGCGGAGACTTCAAGCAATCACTTCCTGTGGTTGCTGGAGGTGGTATGCGAGATCAAGTCAATGCCTGTATACAGTCTTCATTACAATTGTGGCCGCATTTTAGAAATAATATAATAACGCTGAACATTAATATGCGTCAGGGACAGAATGAAATTCAATTCACTGATTGGCTGCGAAAAATTGGAAACGGCGAATTAAATAAGGAAGTCGAGATTGATAGTAGAAATATAGTGGGTTCGCGCCAAGAGTTGATGAATTTTGTCACTGACAACGGCCAAGCTCTTTCGAATCCGAAAGAGCTCATTAACAGACTGATCTTAGCGCCACATAATGACACAGTGAATGTGATTAATGAAGACATGCTGAAAAAGATTACGACCAAGGAAAAGATTTATTTCTCAACGGACGAATCGAACGTTGACGAATCGCCAATGGATTTTGATGAATGCGACAATGATGTTGAAGCTTTGAATTTACTAAATCCTGCTTCAATTCCACCACACCGGTTACACCTTAAAGAAGGTTGCATTGTAATTCTTTTAAAGAATTTGGCCGTTAGTAGAGGGCTTGTCAATGGGACAAGAATGATTGTAAAGGAATTAGGAGATAATATTTTGAAGGTTGAGGTTGTAACCGGTTCTGTGGCTGGATCCGGCAATATTATATGCCTTTCACGTGTATGGTGTGATTATGAAGACAAAGAACCAGATGGAGTTAAGTTCAGACGGTTGCAGTTTCCAGTGCGTCTTGCATACGCAATGACGATCATGAAGGCCCAAGGCCAGACTGCAACACGAGTCGGACTCGACCTTACACATCAAGTGTTTGGTCATGGAAATCTTTATACAGCTCTTTCGAGAGTTCGTACCGCTGATTCTTTCAAAGTCTTTGCACCACACGTGAATGAAAAGGAAAAAACAAAGAATAAAATGATAAAGAATGTTGTAGCCGATGGCTTAGAATTTTTCTAATGCCTTAATGAATTACACACGGACATGAATTACACACGGACATGAATCACACACACAGCGCTATTCCACTGGCCTGGACATTAATGTCCAGAGCCTTCGCCAATTTATGCTTACACGCCTATGGCGTATATTTACTCTTCTTAGCCTCTAAGACGCCTATGGCGTATGTTTACTTGATCATAGCCTCTCGGTCGCCGATGGCGGTAAGAATACTTGTAAATAATGTAAATATTTTTAAAAAATAAAAATACAAAAAAATTAAAAAAATAAAAAGCCTAAAAATGTAAAAATTCTTAAAAAACTACAAAAAAATTTCTTATGCCAAAAAATAAAAAAATATAAAAAAAATTCTTAAGAGAAAAAATTTAATTTAAAAAAAAATTTCATATCCTAAAAAAATAAAAAAAAATTCTTACGACCATGGTGTACAAGGTCTTCCACACCTGACAGGCCTCCCCGTGGCCGTACACCGGTAACTCCTGCTATAATGGCTGTTGTGAGCTATGCAGTCGAGGCTAACCATAAAGATCACAACATTTTTATGGAGTCAAAGTGGTTTACCAACTTATCGTTATTTCGAAAAATTGTTTTTTGCTTTAATGTTTGGCCGGAAAATGGTGAAAACTTCATAGAACATTACTCTATCCTTTTAGCCAGTTTTAAAGTTTACTAAGTTCTATCAGAGTTCTATAAAGGAACTTTTATATAGCTCTAAACGACTCAATGTACATCTCCAAGAAAAAAACAAATCTAGCGTCCTTTTAAAGCCGCAGGCTTTCCACGCGCGTCCCTGGATGCGCCCCCAAAACGGCTTCTATAAAAACAACGTAACCAAACGCTCCCCCCAGCGTAACCAAACCCAAAAGCTACACGCCCATTCAGCTACTCACCCTGCAGCTAGTTTATATTATATAAAATAATTTTGGGATTAAAATTTAAAAACTAATTCCGGCCGGCCGAAGGCCGGCCGCTTCACCGAAGCCTGACATCCTGGGGGCAACTTTTTACGGCGCATTCAGGAAAATTATAGCTGTGGCGCCACGACTTTTCCTTTGCGCCGAAACGACCCCATGAGTGTGTCTATCTCCTGAACCGTAAGTCGGAGCAGAAAAAGTCTGCTGGGAGGCGATTGGCCCACGATTAGTAGATATCGAATAAAAAAAAAATTTCGAAATTCGGTGAAGTCTAAATGTCGAAGTGCCTCTGTAACCCTTTTTAAATTGTACGCAAATGTCGTGGTCATGGGTAGCGGTCAATTGTACTTTTTCTATATCTCGGGAACGGCTGGGCGGATTAAGATGGGACCTGGGGGTATTAGGTAGTTGGGCAAGAGAAATTTTTTGGGATGGGTCATTTTGGTGCCGAACTTCAGTGCGGCGCCGAAATGGCCGGTTCAAAAATTCAACGCATTATAACGCGTTTTTGAGAAGTGGGGGGTCTTGGGGCCTGGGAGTCATGTTGTAGGGTGGGATGTTGGGAAGTTATAAATAGTTGGACACTAGAGTCTCGGGTGAACTTTTGGGGGTGTTTTGGGTCAAAGTGTCAAAGTCGAAAAGTCGACTTTCTGTAACGTGAATTGAAACTTGATTTCGATAGCCAGTTCGAAAGAGCGTCCCCTGGCGGTCAGAAAAAGGTATAATATGTTGGGGGTCCACTTGAGTCTCAAAAAGTTATAGCCAATGTGGCAAAATGTCGTAAAACTTTATGAGACTCTAACGTCCCGGGGAATTTTTTTTTAATTTTTCTGACGCCGGATTTGTACTCAGCACATGTCAGAGTACCATTTAGGTTGAATTTTGGGTCAAAATTCGAAAATTTTGTTCCACCCCTATTTCCAAAGGGTACCTACCCCTTTTGTGGGATTTTCGGGATTTTTGAAATCGCCATAACTTTTTGTGGGATACTCGGATTGGGATGCGGTTTGCTTTATAAAATAAAGTAAAAAATTAGAAATTTTATGAGGCGAAAAAATTTCGAAAAAATTCGAAATTTCACCTGAGGGGGTCGAATTTCGAAAAATCGAAAATTTTTCGGTTTTTCGAAAATTTTTCGGGGTTTTTGCCGGCGGTTAGGGCCGAAAGTATTTTTACTGGATAGAGCAGATTTTTCTGCATAGAATAATACTTTAAAATCTTCAAAAAAGGTATACTTTGGGAGAGTTATGAATTTTTGAAAATTTGGTCGATTTTTTCGCCCAAAATTTTCGACCAAAAAAATAATTTTCCCAAAATGGTCATAAATAGGCCAACTGATATATCATTCGAAAGCTCTCATCGAGGGGAGTCTAAAAATAATTTTTCCTAAATTTTCTGACCATTTTGTCCAAAGTTGTAGAGGGTCGAAATTTTGGGGGTTTGGGTACTCTCAGACTCATATCAACCCCAAAACTTGATCTGAGACTCAAGTGTACAACTAATCAAATATTCCCCCTACCCTGCACTACAAGATCACTCCCAGACGCGAAAACCCCCAGGCCTCCAAAAAACCGCTATGAGGAGTTGAATTATTCATTCGGACGTTTCAGTGCCACACTTGAGTGCGGCACCAAAATGGCCATGCCCATTGAATTCCCCATGGCCGATTACCTATAATCCCAATAAGTTTTTGCCCCGTTTGGTCTTTTTTCGATTTTGACCATTTTTCCATGTACCATTTTGTCGAAAAAGAGGCTGAAGTTTTATTTTTTCAATTTTTTTATTTTTTTAAAAATACCTTAAAATTTAAATTAAATTTAATAGGGGGCCCGCCGCGATTTTTTGGCTGAAATTTGGGGATAATAGGTAATCGACCTTGGGGAGTTCAGCGGGGATGTTCGTTTTGGTGCCGCACTTGAGTGTTGCACTGAAACGTCCTCTTCGGGAACTTATGGGGCGTTTGGTCTCAAACATGGAGTAGTAGGTTATCGTCCATGGGGAGTTCAACGGTCATGGTCATTTTGGTGCCACAGTTGAGGGTGGCACCGAAATGTCCTGTTTTTTTCAAAATCCCCCAAAATTTATATTTAATCAAATTTATTTTATTTTTTATTCATTTTTAGTTACAAAATAAAAATTTTTTAATTACAAAATGTCTTCCATTAAATTTTTCCTCAAACAACAATAACAACGAATTTCTTCAATTATTTAAATTTTTTTCCAACAACAACAATCAATTTCTTCAATTATTTTAATCAATTACTTCAACAACAACACGACAACCAAATCACCTCTACAAAACAAACTATTTTTGGTTTGTTTTTAATTTAAAATTTTTTTCAAAAATCAATTTTTTTTATTTTCAGGTGTCCACCTCTGGAGGATCAACTTGGAAATTTTTCAACATGGAAAATTTTTTTGGAGGATGGAATTTTTGAGGAAAGAAATCCCACGGACGTGGGTAAGCGACTTGTATGACCACTGTGCGGAGGGGTCATGCCGGTTTTTTCCCAGAAATGGGCGGAGCCGGCATGATCGGGGATTGGGTCATGCCCGTTTCCCCTTTTGGGGGTATGGGAAGGCTCCCCCTTCCTTCTGCACAGTGGGAAAGTACAACCACTGTGCGGAGGGGTCATGCCGGTTTCTTCTCTTAAATGGGCGGAGCCGGCATGATTAGGGGATCGGGATATGCCTGTTTCCCCTTTTGGGGGTACGGGGTAATCTCCCCCTTTCCTCTGCACAGTGGGATCGTACAACCACTGTGCGGACGGGTCATGCCGGTTTTCTCCAAGAAATGGGCGGAGCCGGCATGATCGGGGATTGGGGCATGCCCGTTTCCCCTTTTGGGGGTACGGGAAGCCTCCCCCTTCCGTCTTCACAGTGGGAGCGTACAACCACTGGATGGACGGGTCATGCCGGTTTTTTCCCAGAAATGGGCGGAGCCGGCATGATCGGGGATTGGGACATGCCCGTTTCCCCTTTTGGGGGTATGGGAAGTCTCCCCCTTTCGTCTGTACAGTGGGACAACCTCTGTGCGGAGGGGTCATGCCGGTTTTTTCCCAGAAATGGGGAAAATCGGTATGATTTGGGGATTGGGACATGTCCGTTCCTCCTTTTGGGGGGATGGGAAGTCTCCCCCTTCCTTCTGCACAGTGGGCAATGATTCACTCCGCCGTGCGGAGGGGTCATGCCGGTTTTTTCCCAGAAATGGGGGGAATCGGTGTGATCGGGGATTGGGACATGCCCGTTTCCCCTTTTGGGGGTACGGGAAGTCTCCCCCTTCCCTCTTCACAAAAAGGGGCCTATCCATGACCTCGTCTGCACTATAAACACAGCGAGGCATGGAAGTGTCCTTTTAAGACCCCGTCCTGTGGAAAAACCTGTATATATTAGGTTTCGGGTCCTAGCCACAAGAAGGCCCACAGGACGGGGTGAAAAAAACGTGGAGCACCAATACTTGGGGGAAAAGAACCCCGGGTATTGATGCTTCACTGTGCGGAGGGGTCATGCCCAAATTTTTTAAAAACTTTTGAATGCCAATGGTTTTGGGTGACCCATTAAAACCCTAATTACCTCATTAAAAAAATAATTTTTTTTAATCAATATTTGGTTTTTAAACCTTATATTTTGGTTTTGGGTCATCCATTAAAACCCAAATTTGAATGCTTTTGAATGGTTTTGGGTGACCCATTAAAACCCTAATTCCCTCATTTAAAAAATTTATTTTTTCATCAATATTTGGTTTTTAACCTTATATTTTGGTTTTGGGTCATCCATTAAAACCCTAATTGATTTTTTGAATGTTATGGTTTTGGGTAAGTAGCCTTAGGCAGAAGCCAGTGAGGGCGATCCATTAAAACCCTAAGTCGCATTACTCTGAGTCACTTCTCAGGTTATTGCGCACGGGCATTGCAAACTTGCAGCCCTCAAATTGCTGGATATGGCTCATTTCGTGGACCGAGGTAGGACGGGAAAGGCTGCAAGCCAAGTACCATCACCGCCCGGAGCGTCCCAGTGCTTTTGAGGGCACCAAAGGTCGGCTCAAGACTGTTTCCCCTATATGGGGGTATGGTGTATTGTCCCTTTGGGCAAAGTTTGCCAGACCCCTGGGCCACCTTCCCAGGACTGTAGCTCGTCCATATAGTGGGGGTCATGGATAGTTTATCCCACTGCGTTAGCATGGTTACTCGGTGCGTGAACTTAACACTCACGACCACATCATGCGGCGGAAGTGGTACGCAAAGATAGTCACGTTATGCGGCGTGATGGCTATCCTAACGGCTCTGTTCGAGCGGAGTACGCTTTTGCCTACTACGCCTAGCAACGGCTAAGGACCGCACTGCTGGGTTAAACTCGAATAACCGTAAATGGCCCGTGATAAATCCGAGGGCTGAACGATGTGTCAGACGACCGTTTCGGCTTTTGCTGATACACCCATTTTGGGGAGGAAGTCTCACTCCCGTTCAGTTTCCGGTCCCTAAGCTCTGCAGAGCCACTATATGTAGCCTACTGGTGGCTTCTGCCATTGGTTTGGCTGGACCTGGATTAGGAGGGGCACCCGTATGGACTCTCCGCTTCTAATCTAGGGGCCTAACACAGGTCTGTGCGGACGGGTCATGCCCAAATTTTTTTTGGGTTTGCCCTTACAAGCAGCTTGTGGGGGGTCCTGATGAAAAGAAGTGGCGCTTTCCGCTCCTTATTCAGGGGCCAAAAACAACGTAGGATAGAGGGGTGCTGCCAAAATTTTTTTTGATAGCCCCCTATAACTGACTGTTTTTGACCCTGAGCCAGGTACTAGCCGGCAAACTATATTTTGGTTCTGTGCTGGGGTGACCGGACGGTCAACGCTTAACCCCTGAGGGGGATGTTTTTAGCGCGGCAATTTGGAAACAGCAATTACCGAGATATAGGGAGTGATCAATGTGTGGAAGCGGTTTGGTTGTGGGGTCTTTTTCATATCGCCATGTCTAATTATAAATTCATGGTACTCTATTTAGGTAGAGGTTGGATCTGATACCCACATAAAGGGCTCCACCAGTTTTCCAAATTCAGATGTAATATGGTACACAAGGATCTCATTATCCTCCGTAAACGTCCACGTCGTGTGTGCTGGGCTCTGGACTTTTTGTCTGGGGGCGAACTCTGGCTTGTCTGGAGGCGCGGTTAAAAATGAGCTGCAATTAGATTAAAAATTCATTGCAGAAATATTGTTTAAAATTTTAAAACATTGTAAATATTAAAGCTTCGCCTGTACTACGCTAATAAATTTGAGTCGCTGTTGTTCAATATGAAGAATTGAAAACTGAGTCGCTGTTGTTTGTAAATATATGTATTGAACTCTGAGTCGCCGTTGTTTGTAAATATTTAAATTGAAATCTGAGTCGCTGTTGTTTGTAAATATGAGAATATAAATGATTTTCTCTACTTCACTAAATAAATTTGAGTCGCTGTTGTCAATAATTATATGAATTTGAAATTATAATTGATTATAAAATTGAGTCGCTGTTTTCTAATAAATCTATTAAATATTAATGAAACTTGTCTATAAATTTGAGTCGCTGTTTTAATAATTGTATGAGTTGAAAACGAAATATTTCTACGGTTATAGCTATGAATCATGCTTTTTACACGATTTTGCTTTAACCGATTTTGCTTTACTCTATTTTTTCTTACACGATTATGCTTTTCACTCAATTTTTCTTTATCTTATTACTGCGCTTCATTCACGGTTAGGAAAATTTTTACTGTCGCAGAAGTTTTTTGTCTGGTCGGGGTAAAGAATGGAATAATCCAAATTACTGTCTTGGGAGAGACAGATCGTAACTTAGCCTCTTAGCTGTCTTCTGACAGAAACTTAGCCTCTTAGCTGTCTTCTGATAGAAACTTAGCCACTTAGCTGTCTTTTGACAGATGATTCGAAAGGCTTTCACGCCTAAATATTTTGTAACTTAGCCTCTCAGATGTGTTTTTACACATAGTCGGTGCACGAGGTTTCTCATTTGTCCTACGCAAACGTCCTCGTCGTGTGCACTGGGGAATCCGGATCGGTGAAATATATCCTTTCCGGATTCGCGAACTCTGGACATTATTGTACCCCGTGAATAATGTCTGGAGGGGCGGATTAAAAATGAGGGGGATTCCTCCATCCTCTAATTTTTGGAAGCTTTTCCATGCGGGCGGATTCCCAAAAGGTTTCCGCACTCCCAACCGCAACCTTTGCCTCGTCCGGGCTAAAAATATGAAATAAAAAAACTATAATGCCAACAAGACAAGAATTAAAGCGAAAAAAAGAACGTGAAAGACACGCTCGCGCAATTATCCCAAACAGTCCTCTTCAGGACTCTGGCCAGTCTGTCCAACCAGAGCAGACTGATCCGAATATTGATCTGGGAAACCAAAACTGTCCTCTTCAGGGCAATGATCAGTCTGTGCAGCAGGAGCAGTCTGAACATTACACACGTCCGCACATCCAAAACACTTCTATGGATGTTGAAACAATTAATGATAATGTATGTAGCCCTGGGAAGCCTTCGAGCTCGGGCAGGTTTACTTTTAGTGATCATGATATTAATGCAAATGCCAATATTGAAAGTCTTGTGGAACCGCTGACTCCTTTGAGCATCTCTTCGGAGGTTTGCGTTCCAAGAAAATCTCGAAAAACACGTGACTCGTCTGTTGAGTCAAGTCATACTACCAATGATTTATCTAATGATTCTATGTCTCTTTCATCACGTGCTTCATCTGTTGAAAGTTTTTCGTATAATAAGATTAAAGCTGGTCGACCAAAGAAAAAGCCTCGGGGAAGAACTGGAAGACCCAGAAAGTCAACTGATACTTTGCAAAATACTGACGATTCTATATCTGAAAATACAGGACATGAATTACCTAATAATGAAGCGAATATTAATTTCACTGCGCTGAACACTCTTGACTTCGCTGTTACTAGGACTAATGATGGAACTTCCATTTGCCGCAGAGCAGGTATGCCTCTTTATCAAAGAGATGAGAATGATAGGCCTACGCCTCGCACAATTGAAGTATTATGGAATAAACTCTCTGAATGGCCAAATGAAAGTTTCATCTTTGCTTATTTATGTTATTTAGCCAAAGTTTCCGGCAAAAAGGTGATCGTAGTTGATCCGTTTTTAACGGAGATGGATCATTATCAATTAGAAAATTTAAATTACGCTGACTATTCTTACCAAACTGGTCCAGACAGAGATGTACAAATTGTACTTCTTCCTGTCCACTTACCAGGACACTGGACCATCATTATCTTTGACAGTGAGTTCGGAACTTATTTTTTCGACTCACTGCCAACAGATCCAAACGTATTTTCTGACAATCACCCTAACTATCATCCTGATAGAATGCCAAAACTTATGAACATACTTTCTCAATTGACCAACACGTCCGAGGAGTTAATACATCTTGCGACATATGCCAGAAATGAATACACACTTCAACGTGACGGTGATAGTTGCGGATATTTTATTTGCCTATATGCCGAAGCGTGGTTATATAATAACCGGAATCTTAAATTTAATAATTTCAACATTAATACTGAAAAGAAAAGGATTTTGTGGCATTTGAACCAGTTGTATTCCGGCGATAATGTTGAGTATCACCCGAGAAATGCACATGAACAATCTAATATACGAGTAACACCGATTCATAACTTGCCATCTACAAGTCTTTCAACTCCTAGAATGTCCACCAGGGCTTCTACGCGAGCCTCTTCGACTAACTTAACTCCGGTAATATCTAATATCACAGTTGCTACTCCGAAAGGAGAACAAGTTCTTCCTGTTAAACGTCAAGGCAGGGGGTGTCTTAGACATAAAGGAATGGGTTGTGCCTCTTTCAAAGCAGGTCACTTCCCAGAATATTATAATTCTGGTCAGTTCGGAGATAAAACTTGTCAGCATTGCGATAATAGACTTCTTCGGGCGGAAAAATGTTTATCTTGTACGGATGGTCGAGTTCGACTAGATCCGCTTAAAGAATATCCACATGACTATGCAAGACTTGTAACTGGTGAATCAATGGACTCTAAAGAATATATAAGAGACGAATCGAAATATAACACTTTGTTTGCTTTCGGATCACTTTCAGTAGGTAGACAAAATGCCCCAACTGGTGGACCAATGCCTGTTTTACTGAATGGTGAATTCGCTAGACGGATTGGGAGTTTGACCGCAGCCGATCACCAGATTCCTTCTTTTGATCAGTTGTACATATTGGATTCTAAAGACGCTACTGAACATCGAATGAATAATACGAGTTTTGCTGATTGGAATAAAAAAAATCCACATTTGTTCCACGTTCTTGACAAATTAATTCGAGCCTATCATCCGATGGCCGAAATCCTCAAAAACTCATATGAATTCTATAAAGACATTGTACAAAACTCGCCAGAGAACCTTAAAAACTTTAAGGTTATTCTGGTCGAAGATAAAAATGCGCCTGCTGCTATTCAGGATCCAAACTTACATCCGCGTCAAGTTAATTTGCCAACACAGAATGAGTCTACTGTCTTTGCGATTTGGTCTTCAAATACTGATGAGCCACCACCGCTCAGAGGTATTTGGATTACCGAAAAAGGAAAAGTTACCACTCTATGGCCAGATCACTCTATGACTGATCCAATACTCTACCCTTGCATGTTTTTGCTTGGGGACGAGGGATATTCTAAAGATATACCATATATTAAAGTTGCTAAAAAAGCAAATAATGCTAAAGAAGACTTTGATAGCGACAAATCGGAAACCGGTTCCATTGCTGAAAGCGATTGCGGTTCTGTAGATGTATATGGTGACGAACCTAGCCGTTCTCGTCCAAATCTTTCGATAAGGGCGTTCTACCGTTATCGCTTTGGAATTCGGTACCCGGAAAATGAATCATATCATCATATTTGGAGCACTGGTGGTGGATTGGGTCAAAGATTTGCACTCGATATTGCTGCGAGAATAGATTCCCAAGTATTCGAATATTTGCGCCAGCCTAGTATGGATTTACGATTTGATATACCGAAACGTCTTGTAGACTATTTTGCTAAGCATAGTGGCAAATCCTCCGCAAATAAAGTTGGACATGTTGTACTTTTTAGAAGTAATATGCCAGGATTTAGGGCATACTTTAAGAAAAATTATAAGTCAGCGTGCACGATTATTAATCGCAAACGCAAGCGAGGATGCGCCATGTTTATGTTTACTTTTACGTCAAATCCAAAGTGGCCAGAGATGAAGAATGAACTTTACCCAAACGGACAATCTTTGATTGATCGTCCTGACATTGTCATGCGGTTTTACGCTGACAAAGTTAGGGAGGTACACAAGGACTTGAACGAAAGGCAAATATTTGGGAAGCAATTGGGATACGCCGAATCTATGGAATTCCAGAAAAGAGGAGGTCCTCACTTTCACAGAGTGATGGCTACCGATATTCCTGCTATACCGGAGATTATTCAAGACTATATTTTTGCTCATATTCCGCCATTACCAGATATAGATGATAATAGTCCACGAGCCGAGGCTGAAAGACGCCTTCGAGATCTTGTAATCAAATATCAGCTTCACGATTGTAAGCCTGATCTTTGTGGAAATAAGGATAAAAATGGGAAATGCTCTAAGTACTTCCCTTATGATTATTCAGACAAGACTATTCTATTTGACGACAAGCCAGCCGTCCATTATCGGCCAAGTCCCGAGGATGGGGGTGAAACTGTATTGATAAATAAGAGTGGAGTGCCCACTGAGTATACCAATGCTCACGTGGCGCCTTATAATCCGTTTATTCTGATGAAGTATGAAACACACCACAATGTAGCGTTTTGCTACGGTGAAAAGACGAACATGAAATATACTATGAAGTATCCACTCAAGGGACCAACTTTTCAATACATTCAAGTCCAAGGTGATATGGTTGATATTGACGAGCCTGCGCATTACGCCCAAATGTATTATCGCTCAGCAAATGAGGCTTATGCCAGAATTCATTCTATGCCATATGTCCGACTTTCCAACACTGTTTATGGAATGGTTATCCATTTGCCAGGAGAACAGATATTGTTTTTCCAACAAAGTCAAGCTGCAGCAGTTGCTGCTGGAATACCAGGAAACTTGCCTAAAACCATGCTCACTGAGTACTGGGAACAATGGAAGGAAGGAAAGTCGTGGCAATTTGTTAATAAAAAATGGATTTTTGCTGATGACGCTATAATCAAGAATATGCTTTACGAACATATGCCAGAAAAATATTGGTTTGATAACAAAGGGAAAATGTGGAAGAAAAGAATTAATAAAAGAGATGTAATAGGACTAATACATCCAAGGCCATTTCCTCAGGATCAAGAGTTGTTTGCTCTTTACTTACTTCTCCGCCACTTCCCTGGTGATCCTGAGGCATTGAAGGACGTTAACGGAGTTCAGTGCACAACATTTGCTGAAGCTGCACGATTAAGAGGTCTACTTTCTGATGACAGTGTTTGGGAAAGGACATTGGAGGAGGCCTCGCATTTCGCGACACCAAGCGAAATGCGATACCTTTTTGTACAGGTATTGGTCTTCGGAAATCCGAGCAATGCTCGCGAATTGTGGGAAAGATTTGTTGATCATATGATCAAACTTGTAACCATTGATCCTAATGGAAGTATCAGAAAGGGACTTATTGATCGGGCATTAGCAAATATTGAAGCCCAACTTTCGGACTATGGAATGACAAATCTACAATTTGGCCTGGATTCTCCATCCCCCGGGATGCGACTAGACGTTGACACAGCACTTGACAACTTCTTCTTTGGCGACAAAGAGGGAAGCCTTCGAGCTCGGGCAGGTTTACTTTTAGTGATCATGATATTAATGCAAATGCCAATATTGAAAGTCTTGTGGAACCGCTGACTCCTTTGAGCATCTCTTCGGAGGTTTGCGTTCCAAGAAAATCTCGAAAAACACGTGACTCGTCTGTTGAGTCAAGTCATACTACCAATGATTTATCTAATGATTCTATGTCTCTTTCATCACGTGCTTCATCTGTTGAAAGTTTTTCGTATAATAAGATTAAAGCTGGTCGACCAAAGAAAAAGCCTCGGGGAAGAACTGGAAGACCCAGAAAGTCAACTGATACTTTGCAAAATACTGACGATTCTATATCTGAAAATACAGGACATGAATTACCTAATAATGAAGCGAATATTAATTTCACTGCGCTGAACACTCTTGACTTCGCTGTTACTAGGACTAATGATGGAACTTCCATTTGCCGCAGAGCAGGTATGCCTCTTTATCAAAGAGATGAGAATGATAGGCCTACGCCTCGCACAATTGAAGTATTATGGAATAAACTCTCTGAATGGCCAAATGAAAGTTTCATCTTTGCTTATTTATGTTATTTAGCCAAAGTTTCCGGCAAAAAGGTGATCGTAGTTGATCCGTTTTTAACGGAGATGGATCATTATCAATTAGAAAATTTAAATTACGCTGACTATTCTTACCAAACTGGTCCAGACAGAGATGTACAAATTGTACTTCTTCCTGTCCACTTACCAGGACACTGGACCATCATTATCTTTGACAGTGAGTTCGGAACTTATTTTTTCGACTCACTGCCAACAGATCCAAACGTATTTTCTGACAATCACCCTAACTATCATCCTGATAGAATGCCAAAACTTATGAACATACTTTCTCAATTGACCAACACGTCCGAGGAGTTAATACATCTTGCGACATATGCCAGAAATGAATACACACTTCAACGTGACGGTGATAGTTGCGGATATTTTATTTGCCTATATGCCGAAGCGTGGTTATATAATAACCGGAATCTTAAATTTAATAATTTCAACATTAATACTGAAAAGAAAAGGATTTTGTGGCATTTGAACCAGTTGTATTCCGGCGATAATGTTGAGTATCACCCGAGAAATGCACATGAACAATCTAATATACGAGTAACACCGATTCATAA